GTGCTCCTATAACTTTTCTGATTAAAAAAAAAAAAAATCCTTATCCACTTCATTATTATATTTCTTCATGAGTTGCTTACATTATTTTGATTTTTTTGTAGAGAAAAAGAAAAGGAGATAATGGAAGATCCGTGAATTAGAGTGATTAAAGAAAATAAGTTAGGGGCAGAAATGCTTTCTAATTTGGTATTGAAAGGAAAATGATAGTTTACTTCATGTTTTCTTCTTCACTTTTATGGCAATTTACGAAGCTTTTATATATTGATTTTATAATATTTATATCAATGTTATATACTTAAAGAAATTTGATTAATTTATCTTTGAATATTGATCACTTACATAGGTAAAATTAGTTGTTTTAATTGTTTAGAGCTATGTTTGAAAGAATTTTTTAGAATTTTAAAATTTCATGAGATTTTGAGACAATAATTAATGAAAGATTTAAATTCCAAAGTCAAACCATTTAAAATGCAAAATCTTAGCAAAAAATTTTTTTCCTTTTAGGTTTAGTCCAACTCATAATTATTTGTTGCTTACTTGCCTTGCATGTTACAAATTTTAAAAAAGGTTTCAAAACAACCTGTTTTTGTGACTTTTGAATATAAGTTAAAGAATGGGTTTTTAGATACAATATTTACTGTTTTAAATCAAAATGACATTGACAAGGTCTTAGAAGCTCAAGGTTTGACAGCAATCTCAAATAATTTTCTCATTTTACATTCTTATCTTTGTTTAATTAAGTGGATATACATTAATCTGTTGAATATCTCAAATTAAAGGATGATTAAACTATTGTTAAGAAAATGTTGAACTTTATAGATCAAAATAGTGTAAAAATCCTTTTTTTATCCTTTTTACCTTATCTTCTTCATCCTTTTCTATTGATCTATAAAAAGTTTTTACTTTTGCTCACAAATTGATTTTCTTTCATGTTCTGTTTCTAAGTTTTTCTCATTCTTTTATAAAGTTCATTGAAGTATATGAATCATATACCAATTGTTAATGGGTTGTCTCTTTTTATGATATCAAAATTTATGGTTTTTATTCATGCATCTTAAAGAATCTTGCCATATGTTTTTTGTATCATGTGCTTTTAGAAACCTTTGATGCTTCGTTTAGTTTATAAGATTAAAACAAGGCATTGTTTGGTTTGCTTGTCAAGTTGAATAAGTTATCTTTAATGTGTATATATTCATTAGAGATAATTTTGTGGCTTCTTGGGAATTTCTTTTTTCTCTTATGGTTTTGCTTGGTTTTTGAGAAAAAGTTTGAGCTTTGGAGGATTTCATGACAAACCTAATAAAAGGATCTTAATGTTAATAGAGGAAAATTTGTGGGCTTTGAGTTTGGATTGCTAAAAGACAATTTTGATATTGTGGGAGGCCAAAGTTTATGGTTTTGAGCTATAATTAGTTGCATAAAAACTAGGCTTCAAAAGTGAGTTATGAGAACTTTTAGACATGTAGAAGGAAATAACTTGAAAATCTAATGAATTTTGTTTTCATATGAGCAGTGTTTGTAGTTATTATGGGAAATGCTTTTGTCCTTTCAAGGGTTTTGAATAAAACCATAATCTGTGCTTGAAATTTGGATATTTTTGAAGAGAAATGATAGAAGAGGTAAAAAAGGAAAGAAGAGACAAGGGAGTTCATTTTTTTTTATTGGCTTTTGAATTAGGTTTTGGTTTCGGACGTATCTAATAGATTTTATTCTCAATTAGGATCTTGAAGAGTTGCTTGGTTATCTGATAGTTCATAAAGCACAAAACTGGCTGTAATATGTAACACTGTTGAATAGCCTCAAAATTTGATGTTGTGGTGGAAGAGGAAATAATGATTGCAATTCTATTGTCTAGAGAAAAATGATGAAGTTATAGGAATTAGAAAGTATAAGGGGAAGATGGCTGCAAAGCTTCTACATTCTTTAGCAGATGATAATCCAATTTACGGAAGTAAATAAGATGCAGAACTGGGATCTTTCAAATATTTGATCGTCATCATATGCTCACCCTTAAACGCCTGAGCCATAAGAAGCTTCCTACAGGTAGTTCTCATAGGGATGTGCTTAATCTATAATTTTTCCTCTAAAACTAATCTTTTTGCTGAAGTCTACTACTCATCATAGATTGATGCAATAGCTTTTAGATATTGGAATTGCGTATTTACTTGCTTACACTGATGTTTTATAAGTTTAAAAATTATTAGGAGTTGTGAATTTGGAATTCATGATTACAGTATGTAAGTTGATAAAATGTTTGAAAAAAATTACACTAATATTATATATTTGCATTGAATTCTCGTGACAATGCGCGAGCATTCTACTAGTTCTTTTATTAAAACAAACATATTCCTACGAGGGCCCATTTCAGCAGCCTGCAATGTATCGATCAAAGTCTTAGCAGGCTTAGATAGTTGCCTATGAAACCAAAGACAATAAACCTAATCGAGTGGAACAAGCTTGTGATTTTGCTCTCTAACAAAACTAGAAACAATCTATTTCTCAAAATCCTGTATTTTAACATACAAAGAAGCCTTACATCCTACTCTAGTAATAGTACGGAGATGCTTGATCTTCTTATCCTCTGTTCCTTTCTTAGTCAAATTTCTAAACCCTTCTTTAGCACAAACAAATTGTCTCTGAATAACTGCTCCATCACGCCTAGAACAATGAGAACTTTTTTTTTTGTTACATCAGGAAGGTAAAGTCTTAGTATAAGTAAAGGGATAGAAAAATTGGTTCAAAATCAGGCTTTTGATGTCCCTTCAAGCATTTTTAGTCATTAAACCAAAGGTTTGAGAACACAATGAGAAGAAACTTACACGTGTACTAAAATCGACACGATTAGCAAAAGAATTAGAAAAGAATCAAATCTAAATGCACTTTTTTTTTTTGTAAACCCATTTTTTTTAAATTTTTTTATAAGTAAAATTATTCAAATACATTTCTTACAAGTTTTATAACTTTTGAAAATATATTTTCAAAAAGTGTTATGAATTCTCAAAACATTTTTTGAAAATATGCTTATGACAGTATTGGAGTGAAATTTTATAAAACTTACAAAAAAATATTTTTAAAATTATTTATAAATAAGTGTAATAAAAAAGTTATTATTAGAAAAAACCATAAAAATTTAAAAGTAATAAAAAAGTTACTTTTACTATTTTCAATTTAGAAAAAAAAAAATCTTATGAGGTTATAATTAAATTAAAGATAAAATAGTAAATATAATTTTTTTATAAATTTAAAATTTATCATTTGTAATAAATATTTTTTTGTATCGATTATTAAAATTTTATAATAGTTTTAATTAAACTGAATTTTTGGAAAAAGTTTCTCTATTTACTTATTATGATAGGTTTTTTAATTAGTATATTAAATTTTAATAAAATTATATAGTATTTAATATTATTACTTAAACAATTTTTAAGAGTTTTAGCTTTTTTTTTTTATGTTGATTAGACTTGATAATTATTTTATTACTATTCGTAATATTAAGAGTTAAAATATATAATTACGATTTTATAAAATTTTATTATTTCTTTAAAGTTAAAATAGTAAAATAATAAAAGTAATTTTTTATTAATTTTAAAATTTATGATTTTTTAAATAATAATTTGTAATTACACTATAAATAATTTTAACAAATTTTTATTAACTTTTTTTTTTATAAAATTTCACTTTTCAACTTAAAAATGTATTTCAAAAAGTGTTATGAATTTTCAAAAATATATTTTCGAGAGAAATATTATGACTTTTCGAAAATGATAGATATCCAAAAACTTGTAAAAAAATTTTGAAAAAAAAGTACAATGTAAAGAGAAAAAAGATGAAATGCATTTAGTCGCTCCCTTGTTAAAGACTTCTTCAGACTCAAATTCCCTACCTCCATAAGCCTCAAGATCCAACAGATCCTTTCTGGAAGGTAAATTTCACCCCCATCGCCATTGTTATTAGAAGAAAGAAGTGAAGAAGGGCAAGACTATCGACTATGTCCCATCCATGTCTAACTCTAAGTTGGCATCATTATTGTCGTCGCGGTTACTACTACCTCCTCCGCCTAAGCCTATATCAAACTTGAGAACCTCAAGGTCCATGCAATTGGTTTTTCTTTTTTTGGTGAAAAAATGAAAATTTAAATATCATGAAAGTGGAATTGAAGTGGTAAAAAATGACGGAAGCTTAATCGTGGAAGACATGAGGAAAGTGAAGGGAAGGCTAAGGTTTCCGGAAAGGAATGGAGAAAGGGAAAAAAAAGAAAACCTAGAATCGAGATTTAAAAAGAAGATTTACGAAGAATAGGATATTGGAGTTTTGAATAAAAAGGATAAAAAAATGAAGAACAAAATGAAAGGAAAGATTGGAAGTTAGGAGGAAAAATGTCTGCAAATAGCCAAAAGAGTTGAGACAGAGAATGGTGAAAGTGTGGACCAAACGAATTTGTCAACAATTATCTGATGATCAAACTTGAAATTCCAAAATGGTCAATTAAAAAAATTTATGAATTCTCTAACTTTGTATAGAATAATTTCCATAATTTAATTGGATATTTTCTCAATAAAAAATTGCAATAACAAAGGATAGCAAAGATGGTAGGTTAAATTAAAATATTAAATAATAATTTATTAATATAATATAAATATAACATTAAATAAATAATAAAAAATATTGTTATATATATATATATATATAACAATATTTATATTTGGATCATGGTGTTACTTGAAATTTGATTTTTAAAAAAATGTTTTGTCCTCGATTTGACTTTCAATTTGATTTTTTTTTTTAAATTCGATCTTATCACGCACTAAAATGAATTAAATTATATGAAATACGGATAATTTTGTGATCCTAACAAGATATTTAAGCAAGGTAGGACGTTAGCTTTGCTCATATATGGGCTCCAAATGTAGTTGGGATTGGGCTCAAGCCCATTAAGAGTATCAAGGGTCAGTTAACACGTGTGGAGAGTAAAAGCAGAAAAACGCTTGACACTTGTAAAGGTCAAATTTTACTCTGACCCTGAGAACAAATACAACGCCGTATCAACCTCAGCAGTAGTTTCTACTTCAACTATCTCCTCCTCCTCCTCTCTTGTTTAGTTTTGTTTTTTTTCAAATTCAAAACCGAGGGCCAGGCCAGGCCAGGCCAAGAAGCACCTATCCGAGGGCTCAACCTGCAGCTGGGTCCTTAAGTTATTCCCTCCAACAAAGACAGCAAAGTAAGTTCTTTTTGTTTGTTTAGCGTTCATTAATTTCGTAACCCACCGGGGTTCATGTCTCAGACGTTTTTTCATGTTTCTTCTTGCAGGGCTCAAAAGAAAGACCTTTTTTTTTTAAGTTCTATTTTGTGGCTAACCCAGAAAGCAGGGAATGGAAGTGAGTACGAGCAAACTTGTTTCTTTTAGGATGTAATATAAATGAGAAAAAAAAAAGTCATTTTTGTTGTAATACATGGCTTTTGATTTTTTTTTTGTTGTGTGCATTTACATTATCTTTCTAAGAAAAGTGTTTGTATTTATGGGTTTTTATTCTGTTTTCTCCATTTTGGGTTTTAGGAACCGGATAAGGTGACTGGTAGTGTTAGTGAGGCTCAGATGGATGATTCCAAACCAGTTATGGAAGAAACTGAAAATGAAGCTGACGGTCTAGCCCCAGTGGACACAGAAACAGAAGCTGCTGAAGTGAAAGACCAAGTTCAAGTTGAAGAACTTACCAAACTTGAAGAAGATGCGAAATTGCAGCCTCCGCGGGTTGGTGGTAACCCATATTCAGTGGAACAACAAGCCATTGCCGGCCAAACCCATGGCCAGGAGGACACTAGCAAAACTCTCGATGTTGTTGATGCAGATGGTCAAAATGAAGAACATTTTAAGTCTGAGGAGAGTGATGATATTGAATTTGAGGATGTTGAGGACAAATCTTTGGGTGAAACTGTTACCAAAATGAAAGTTGTTGAAGATGATGATGCCCCCATTCATTCACGTGAAAATGACATAAAACCCCAAGATGTTGACAATGGCGTTGACAATGGGGAGCAATTGAAGGATTTGTCTACAGAAAGGGAGATTAAGAAGCAATTGGCACTACCAGAACTTGGTGACAAAAACCCTAACCTATGCTTTGACAACTCAGGGTCAGACACGGTGGAGGAGCAAGCAGCTTTTACAAAGGATGTTGAAGCTTTTTACAAGGAGAAGAACCTTGAATTCAAGCACCCTAAGTTTTACAAAGAGGATTTAAATTTGCTCAAGTTAAGCCTTTTCAATTCCTTTGTTTTGTCTTTAAAAATACAAAACCTTAATGGTAACCATTCTGCCATTTTTCATTTGACTCAAGGTTATGGAGAGCTGTTATTAAATTGGGGGGCTATGAACAGGTTTGCCTTAAATTCTTGATTATTCATTTCCTTATGATTTCCTATCCTACCTAAAAACTCTTTCTCTCATTCTCTCAGCCTTTTATCTTCTCCAATTTCATAACATGCTTGTACATTACTTTAAAAAATGACTAGTTTAATGAAAGTATAAAACTAAAATTGCCTTTACATATATCAATCTTTTAATTTTTTTGGTTTTATGTGGTTTTCCTGATTCTGAATTCCAAGGAGATGCCTGTGTATGCTGCTTCTGCATGTACGAACTTTTATTATCCATGACATTGAATTGTTGTAGTTAGTTGGGTTTTACCAAACTTGAAAAATGGGGTTAATTTAGCTTTTGTGTTTATTTAGTAATCAAGAAAATCATTCATTTATGGTTAAGAATAAGACAGATTTATGGACTTGCTTTTCATCCGTGCTGTGGACTTTGTAGGTGACCTCATGCAAATTGTGGAGGCAAGTGGGAGAATCATTTAATCCGCCAAAGTAATGATAAACTCTACTTTCTTGTTGATGTCTGTCTTCTAGCTTAGTGAGCAATTTCCATGACTTATGTACAGAAAGCGTGCATTTTCCTCCTATCAATTGTTGCCGATTTTTCGATTTTGTCTTATGCATGGGAAATGCTATTGTGTTAAAAAAATCTGTATCTGCTGGCTCATTTTTTGTTTTTATGAATAAATTTTGTTAATGAGGCACCTTTATTTATTTATTTGTTTGTTTGGCATAGGACCTGCACTACTGTATCGTGGACATTCCGTATCTTTTATGAGAAGGTTTTGCTCTAATTGATAATTTCTGTTGATTAAAAGAACGCAAACTATATGAAGGAAGGCCCCTACCCCTTTCTCTGTCAGCTCAAACTTTTATTTTCTTTATTTGTTATTTTGACATGGGTTCTCTTGTAATTTGATTCAATCATGTTACTCAGGCATTGCTTGAGTATGAAAAGCATAAAATTCATGGTGGCGTACTCCCCCATTCAAATGCTTCCTTTAGTGAGCCTAATAGAGTTGAAAGTCAGGTAAACTCTAATAATGCTTGCTGATCAGTTTGGCATAAATATTGTTTGTTATAGCCATATCTTATGTTTATCCCATTCTCTTTCATGTAATATTTACCTCTTTTCTGCTGTGAACAAGCAAAATTTTGGACCATTGCATATGCAAAAGTTGTCTCTTGAATTGAAGATAACTTACTAAGAAAATGTGCATCTTGTAATCAAAATACTGTATTTAAAGTAATTATTGGTGCCTAGGTTTGTGAGAGGGAGCTGAGTGGAAATGGAGGTAGATCTTCCCTAAAAGGCATGCTTTAATTTTCTCTGTAACACTTGTTATATCCATTGGGAATAGAGATTTTTATGGAGAAGGGAATGGAAGCTTTCACAAAGTCATGGAAAAACTCTGTAGATATTGTTCAGAGCAGCAAGGGGTTATTACAATCTTTAATTATACTCTCATCTTAGATGTTTTAAGAGCTAGATTGCCTCATGCAATAATATGATAGATAAGTCCTGTTTTGCACAAAATGACGAAATCAATGTTTGTTGGTGGTTGGTGCATGTTGAGTTAAATGCTGGATGTCCTTAACCATAATCATTTTCTTTGTGATATGATTGAAATTGGATTTGACACGCATTAGTTTCCAAATCATCTGCATGGCAAGCATAAACATACTATCCTCTCTTTTCCTGTCAAGTTATCAGCTGACTGATATATAAATTTGTATCAATAAATATCTATCAGAATTGCATATATATTATCTAATAATTTCTATGAAATTTGTGTAGGCTGGTAGTAATCAAGCTTCTGGGTCAGGTAGGGCAAAGAGGGATGCTGCTGCTCGTGCCATGCAGAGCTGGCATTCTCGGCGTGTTCTCGATAATGGTGAAGTCTGTCATCCAGTCATCAAGGTTTGTGGAGAACTTCTAAGCTATATGCATTTTCTGTTTTGTTAGGTCTTCTCTATTTTTCCCTATCATTTGCCCTGATCTCACCGTTTTTGTGCAATGTTTTCAAAATTTCTAGGACAAGAGCTCTAGTCCTGCACTCAAAACTGACAGACAACTTAATAATTTTGGTATTTCTAATACGCTGGACTAGCACATTTGGCTGCTACAATTCCCAAAATTGTCTTTATTTATGAGACTGGGTCATTGCCTCAGGTTTGTTAAAGCGCAAAAAGCCATCCAATCTGGAGCCTGGTGTCCGAGTAACTCCATTTAAAGCAACTAAACCACAGTTACGATTGCTAGTTACTTATTAGTTCCTAATTTTTTCCCATTTTTGATAGTGTATGGAACAGTATTTTGACTTTTCAAGGTGCCAAAATTAGGCATTCCTTTGGCAGGTTGGATACTATGGTTATTGATATTGGAGCCCCAGCTGATTGGGTGAAGATTAACGTGCACAAAACTGTAAGTCTTTCTCTTGTGTTTTTCATAGGATAGTGTGATACATCACTATTATCTATGAATCTTTCTATCTCTCTCCCCCACAGATTGACTGCTATGAGATATATGCTTTGGTTCCTGGGCTTCTTCGTGAGGAGGTTAGTGTATCTCTAGATGATCCTCCTTTTCTTGTTTCATGTTTACTAGTAGTATTTTTGCTTTTAAAATTGGATGACTTTTCAGAGGTAAAGCTTACAGAGAAGATAGATTTCATTACAGCAGAACAGATGTATGTTCCCGATGGAACAGTTATTTTTCTGCAAAAGAACTTTACTATGAAATCTGTTTGGATGCTCAAGTGACTTACTTCCTGGTCATTGACCTAAAGAAGAAAGGCTGAGGGAATAGTGGGGTAAAACTTAAGCCCATCCAGATAAGCCAACAATGGAAGAATACATACATCTAGGCCTTGGTTGGGAGCGTTTAGGGACTCTTTTTATGCTTGGGCTAGACTGAATTTGATTAGTGGCCTAACTAATATATCATTAGGTGCAACTACGGTTGTTAATAGAGTTCTTAATGTGCTAAGTTTGCATTAGTCTAGCCATTATAAATGCTAAACGATCTTTTTGGTGAATTTCCTAGAGAGATTGATTACAACTAGCTAAGTTGATTAATCTCGACATCTATCTTTTTTGGTAATATTTTTAATTTAGTACTGATGAGCATCCCAATAAAATTTGCATCAATTGCTGAATCCATTTTCCTTTAACTTCTGCCTGTAGATTGTATTTGATATGGTTGATGAACTACTATATGTGCTTAAATGAATCAGGTGCATGTTCAGTCTGATCCAGCAGGACGCTTGGTTATTTCTGGTCAGCCAAAGCAACTGGATAATCCTTGGGGTGTCACACCCTTTAAAAAGGTTTGTCTGAGTTGATGAAATTTCAATGTAGAGTTGGATGTATGATCTGTTTCAATATTGCGGCATGTTTAGGTGACTCTGAAATTTACTCATTACTATTATTATATTTTGTTCTGGAATTTTCATAGAAATTTATGCTAATGGTAATTGTTGGACATTGGAAGAGTGTCAAATAAAATTGAAGTTAGTACTGGTAGGAGTACACGTCCCATTTGTTTACTGTTATGCAACCTATTGAAATAATTGCATCTTCACGTCCCATTTGTTTACTGTTATGCAACCTATTGAAATAACTGCATCTTCTTTTAGTTATTTTATACACCACCCTAAAATTAAAACTCTTATTGGAATCAAATTCATTGTGCTGATAATAGTTTTTCATGTGCATTAATGATACGTGCTTGTGTCCAGGTTGTCAGCCTGCCTTCTAGAATTGATTCACTTCAGACGTCCGCTGTGGTTACCCTGCATGGTCAGTTGTTTGTGCGCGTCCCATTTGAGCTGCCTGATGTATAGGTTGTAGGTTTTACCTTCACATGTAGAGATTTCTCTAGTTTGAAATCAATCTGACAATTAATTCTGCAATGAGCATATTTCTTGGTAACATTTTGCTTACAGCTGATGCTCAAGCCAATCTCCAGTTTTTGGCATGTCTCTTTTTTTGAGAGGATGAGTTATCAGGTTTGGGAACTTAATGACCTTCAATCGGCTGAATTAATCTGGAAAACCAAATGTGAGTTATGTGAATATGACTGAAGTTTGGATTGTGTTCCATTGCATGACCAGATCGTCAGTAACAATGGCAAGGGAAGTGCCATCATTCATGACCTTCCTTAAAATGTTATGTATAGGTTTATTTGATTCAATGTTGAAAACTTGAAGTTGGATATTTATATTTTTATACAAGACTTTCCTTAACTCAAAATTTAACGGGCATTGGCTTAAGTGCAAATCTGCATGGGTGAGAGCAAGTGTGCTTTGCAGATTTCCGACCATCTGTCTTTGGCCCCTTGCCCGGCTTGTAGAGAATGTTTATCATTTCTGTTTACAAAAATATAATAATTACCATTTAACATTTCTATGAACTTAAATCGACTGGTTATTCCTCAAATTATCCACCAGAAAGTCTGTTCGTACTTTATCACTTTTCTGTACTTTTGTCCGAAAAAAAAGAAAAAAAACCCTTCGTCGTTTTACCTGTCTAATGTACATCCATTCGAAATTTATGGAATACAGCGGTAAAATCATCTACACTTTCCTCGTTTGCAATCTGGTTGAATTTCCACTCGCATCAACTTAGATTGTTGGTTCTCTTCTTCTGGAAAGTATACAAGTGTCTCCTTTTTCCTCACGAAACAATAACCGTAAAACTTGACCTTTCTGTTCTGCTCAAGGGAATTCAGAAGTACTACCTCCCACACCGTCAGCTTGTCTACGCTACCTGTAGAAGGATTAATGGCAATCCAAAGCAAGGAAAGTGTGATTGCAATGAGACCGGACCAAACAAAGACAATTGTGGGTGTCTTCCCTCTCCTGCCCATCAAACCCTTGTCAAAGGGATACAAATGAGCCGACACCCAGAAGCTAAAGAACGCTCCTCCCATGAACTTACTCCATTGCGGTACTGAACTGTAAACCATCCTTGAAAATGCAATCGCGAGGGCGATTAAGTTTATCATAGCGATTACAATTGGTGGGATCATCAATGAAGTCCACTTCACGAGGTACAAGTAGGCATAGATGTCGTCTTCGTTTTCTCCTGCTGACTTTGAAGTCAATGTAAAAGAGATTTCAATGCCTACTTTAAGAAGACCTTGTATGCATGCAGCTAAATGAGAACTGGTTCCAGAGATGAGCCAAAACTGTTCATTCCGCCACCACTCTTCCAATCCAATACCGGACCATTTCACCTCTAGGATTGCGAGCATGATGAGGCAAATGGTTATAATTAATAGGTAGAACAAAAACGTAATGTTTAGATTTTCACCCGAGATAAGTGAAAGTGCAGGGAGGAAGCTATATACAATTAGGAAAACGGACGTAAAGGGATAGATGCCGACATTAAGATAAGCCAGGTGCTGAAGTAGCTTGAGACGCCTAGAAGCAAGAAAGGCATTGTTTCTCGAGAAGAAAATTTCGACTGATCCCGCCGCCGACAGCAGCACCTGGTGAAGTCTATCAGTGAGGTTAATAGGAGCTGACCCATGAAATGCGTCGCGCTTGGTGATGCAGTAGATAGAGCGCCAACCGCGATTGTGCATGCGGTAGCCTGTCACGACATCTTCTCTGACTGAACCATAAATCCAACATACGCGGTCACCCCATTCAGTCTTGTCCTCCTCGTACCTGTTGGGAAAAATATGGTTTCATCATTTCACTTGTGGGCTATTTGTTTTGCGATGTTATTAGGTCTCTGTTTGCTGATTGGTTTTTCATGGTTTTACGGTGCAATGTTTGCATTTTTTCGAGATAATCAGTGCTGTTTAAAAGAAGCGCATACCAGCAAGAAATAACGGAGACAGCTTCAGCAACAGTAGCCGCATCAAGTGGTTCACGTGGGATCCTGAGAGCACCGAGAGGCCTTCCAAACTTGATGGCAGGATGATCTGCAATGGGACGGCCCTGAAACTCACAGACTGGTATAGACTCTGCCACCAACGTAGAATTTCCAAAGCGTTTTGGCAATAGATTTACATCAAGATCAGGATCAAAGTCACTGGTCGTTAATGGTTGAGTTTCACTCTCTTTCGCCTGAGTCATTCTATCAGGATTTGGAGGATCGAACCCATATAATGCAAACCGCCTGAACATGCAGCCAGTTCCCACATAAACAGGGCCCTGTATAGGTCATTTTTCATTTTTACATCATTTCTGACTTTGATTCCTTTACATTGTGCTTATCGTTTGTCCTTAATGAAAGAGAAGAATACCTGCACACCATCAAGGGCACTCATGTTACCATCAAAAAACACGGTGTTGTGATTAGCATAACGATCAGAGGGATCAATGCCTTCGAATCTCTGAGGGAACTGAACGTAGCAGATATCTTTGCCACCTCGATCCATCATAAAGCACATTCCTTTGCGAATAGCTTCGCAATTGTTTATATGGTGATCGCAATCAAGGTTAAGAATGAACGGACCGTTGGACAAAATAGCTGATGCTCGCACCAAAGCGTTCATCGCACCGGCTTTCTTGTTATGATCATAGCCTGGACGCTTCTTCCGCCATACATAAACAAACATGGGGAGCCGTATGTCGACATCAGTGAAATCCAAGAGCTTATCTTCCCCATTTCCCATAAGTGGATTATGATTAGGTGGCTTCAACATCACCTATTCGTTTTTTGCGATCGCCAATAAGCATTCATACTTCATTGGATAAGAAATTATGCAGGAAATTGAAACGAAAGACTGAAATAAAAACATTTTGCTTGTATAAAAATGTTTTGGCACAATGTATGTGTACCTGCAGAATTACAGCATGGTCCCCCTTGGAATGTTCTCTCGAAGGGACAGCCCAAGTTCCAGGCCAGTGGGTGCCATCAGCCATCCATGTGCCCTTTAGGACCTTTGGTTTCTCCAAAGGATCAGCCCTGGTCTCCCTAAGGTGTTTCATCTTCTTCGTTTCCTCCCTTGCATTGAATGCCTCCGATCTCCTTCTGATTGAGTCAGGAAGCCCATTGATTCTCACCTTGAACTCATCATATTGCCTCAACACCCTTCTCCTATACTTCACAAAGTCGGGCTTGCTCTTGTTCATAGTTGGGTCAACTTTTAAGTTGAAGTATGCATCAGGATTCCTAGGCTGGATATCATGTTTTCGACAAAATGGAACCCGTAAATCAGCAAAACTTGCAGCCTCTGCCATTGCCTCAAAGGTGAGGAAGGCGTCTCCATCATCAGAGATGTAACATGATACCTTTTCCACAGGATAATCAACTGATAAAATAGAAAGGATTGTATTTGCAGTGACGAGGGGTGGCTTCTTCTCCGGATCAGCAGTGGACACAAATAAGTGAACTCCAGGGAGGTCAGAGCGGCCTGTTGGATTAGATGGTGAAGGTAAGTCAAACTTTTCACGGAGGATCTCAAGATCAGTGGAACGATTGATTGGACAGAGTTTAGGAATCTGATCAAGGATCCAGGAGAAGGCAAACCATAGTTCACATACAATTGACATTAGCCACAACCATACTGCATCATCATTTGGATGCATTAGTCTCCAGTGTAAGAAGCACAGCACCACCAATCGAATTACAATCAATAACCTATGCAAATTTATTAATAATCGGTTAATTTAATTTATTGCATCTGTTATTTTAATAACCATACAAAAGCACATTTCTTAATACCACATCAAAATATATTTCTCTATTCTCATTCCTGTTTTCTTTTGAGCATCTTGCTACTACCATTACCAACACATTAGCTGATAGTTATGTTCATTTAGTGTACTAATCTAACAATTTCTCAATCAAGTTAGCTAAGAAAAAAAAAAAGAAAAACTGAATTTACATTACACCTGTAAGGGCTGAGGATGGCTGCAGGGATGGGAATCTTCCGATAAGGGCTTCCAAGTCTTATCATTGTTCTCCAAGTCCCCATGGAGCCTATCATCCTCATCATCACCATACATATCATCTTGAGGCCGATAAGCATTTCCATAGCCATAAGTACCACTTGTCTCGAACAACCACCTATTGTGATCAAAGTCTCCTCCTTGATTCCTTTTCATCATAGACATATTATTAGGATCTCTTTTACCATTTGGAGCAAAGTATTTTAATGTTCCATTGGAATATTCTGGCCCATCATCGTCATAGTCTCCGACTCTGTATGGTTCCTTGCAACCAGGACATAGTCCTGTGACCTTTTGAGCATCCTTGTAGCAATCTCTGCAGATTTTGAACCTAAAAGGTACAGTAAAGTTATTTATTTGTGATCAAAATGATATTCCATATTCTCATCCCTTAAACAAGCTGAAATATGTATAGACAGTTCGAAATTTTGTGAGAAGTAATCTCCTTTCTTCTTTTTTACTTTCACTAAAGATAGAAAATTATCACTGCAAACCGGCTAATACTACATAGGCTTCACTTCAAGAAATAGAAGATTAGTGGTAATTTTGTAGTAGGGTTTCACTTACAAACGCCGCTAGCTTCCATGTTTTTATAAAACTTAAGGTGTTTATTATCAAAACGCTACTAAATATTTAAATAACGGCATTTTTACTTATAAACGCCACCCAAGACTTGATATTAGCGGCGTTTATCGACTAAAATCCTTGAATAATCCTGTCTTAAAAATTTGAGTGAATACTGAAAGTTTTTTTGACAGAAAACAGCTTGAATAATCCAATTAAAAAAATGAATAGGGGATTACTGAAGGCATTTTTAGCAGACAATGCCTTGAATAATCTCTTTTTAAAAAAATATATGCGATTATTGAAGGTATTTTCTGCAAGAAACGCCTTTAATAATTCCACAAAAAATTTTCAGAGGATTATTGAAGGCGTTTTTGATAAAAAAAAATGCCTTTGATAAATATTCTATCAAAGTTTAAGGATCATAAGGTGGTAGGTTCGATCCCTTCCTTTAATTTTTTTGGGTTTTTGAAGGGATTACTTGTAATGGATTATTTTATATGTTTTTTGGGCAAAAACGCTTTCACCAATCGATTTAAAAAATTTTGGAGAGGGAATATTGAAAGTGTTTTTTTGATAGAAAAACACTTTTAATAATCCATAAAAAAAATGAAACGGATTCTTAAAGGCGATTTTGGCCAAAAGCGCCTTCAATAATCTAATCAATAAATTTCATAAGAGATTATTGAAGGCGGTTTTAGTAAAAAAACACATTCAATAATCCAAACAAAAAAGTTGAAACAGATTCTTAAAGGTGTTTTGGCCCAAAATGCCTTTAATAATTCCCATAATAAATTTTTAAGTGAGATTATTGAAGGTGATTTTGGTAAAAAATGCCTTCAATAATATTTTGTTATGGATTATTGAAGGCGTTGTTTTGTTAAAAACGCCTTCAGTAATCTCATAAAAAAACTTTGGTTTAATTATATATGTGAAGTTAGTTATAGGTTTATGCCCACAAAACATTTGGTTTATATATGTGATACTACGAATTATATTTTGAAATTTACATTACAAACATTGTTATATTTCAATAAATTGATCACCTATCCGAATTTAAAACTGATAACGTTGTCATATTAATATACTTTTCTTAAATAATCATACTTAATGTATGTATATTTATATAAAACAAACATATACCAATAATATTAAATCAATACCTAAATCTACAAACTGAAATTATCCATTCAACATGGCATGTTAAAAATATTATAAAAAATAATCGTCATATATTTACATTCAACCAACAATGTCCAACCTCAAGGTTTATCAATAAATGATAATACATGCTCACACAATTCTTTACAGACTTCACTGAGTTTCTCTACCGTGAAGCTTTCTTTACTCTCCCACTAAAAAAAAAATTAGAAGTAAATGTTAATAAATGAGAACATAATTTAGCTTTTTATTTTTTTGAAGATATGATGACTTTATAAAATTTTTACTAACCTTGAATGGTGTGGTCATAAAATCATATAAAACTATCTCCCGCATAAAACGAAAGACATAATATCCACATTTAATATATCCGGGTTGACGAGTTATCTGAAAATTAAATTGAGTGGGTTTAGGAAACATTTATCTGCACAAACTTAGCATAAAAGAATAAATTTCACATTTACCAGTAATGACACCCATTTTTTCTTTGCCTTCTTATCAAATGCAGATATTACCCTAAATTGAAAAGAAAAAATTACTTAATACATAAAAAAAATTACTTATGAAGAAACAGAATATGCATAATATAATAACATGTAATACCTTTTTATAAAAGTTTGAATTTCGGGGTTAGGCATTGCCATTGGTTGAACTGAATTAAGTAAGTATGGCATTAAGGATTTGGTATCAATTACAATAAGCACCCAATGATGACTGTAAAATAATAAGAATGATATACTCAAATTAGGCATCATATCATATTCGGGTAAAGTTGGAATAATTATTTGTATGAACATAACTTATTGCTCATTATACGAGAGCAAATAATAATCAACCGATTTTTTCATGCATTCAATCACATGATTAGCAAGAAAAGTGACTGTGCCACTTTGCTCACTAATGAAGTTGAGGTCAACGAATCTAAATCTATGGGTCAACTGTCTCGCCTTGACCTTTTTATATAAGAAGCTGCACAATAACAATCAACAAACTAGTTAGTAATACACCGTAATATAGATTAATACATATTGAGTTTACATATTTGTATTTATAAGCTAACCTCATATAAGCAATAATATCAACAGCTGATATTTCATCCAGTTTACAAAATTCTTTAACTTCATCCACACCAATGTAAGAAAATGATGGTTTACCAAATAACCTTTCCTTAAACTCAATGGTTATGCAGTTTCCTCCGAATAAATGATTGAGTGAATAATTGGATAACTCATCTATGGTAGCCTGAGCAATGGTCATATTTTGAGTCCCAACATTTTGCTACAATATATAATGAAATATAAGTATTAAAACCAAATCAATAAATATAATAAACAAATTAATATTAAATTTATAAACAAAATCATACTTCATAGCTGGTAGTGGAGGTTAGGTTCCCTGCTTAACTTATAACGAAAGCTTATCTTAGGTGGATGATACTATCCGACTTGCCTACAGGCATGCCAAGCTGCATTGCTGCCAACATGGCCTCCAAAGTTATGAGTCTTTACTATTGCTTATTGAGGCATTGCTCCTGATCATCAAGTCGTTGCTATTGTTATTAAATGATTGCTTCATATTGCGCATTTGTCATTCACGTGGTTTTTAGTTAATTACTAAAAAACTTTGATGGCAACATAAATTTACCAACCTTACAAACTCGACCAGGCCTTTCTTTTAGCTCCTAATGCTAAAGACAATGGATTTTCACCATACTGGGTTGCTAGTTCATCGAATTTAACTTTGGTAGCATAATCATCTTGAAAGACAATAACAAATGGGCTGTAACAACAAATCTATACAAGCTAGTATAAAGTCATGCATACAACCATAATGCCAATCATACATGATATTAAACAAGCAATTATACATACAATCTTTTTAGCCAATTCTTTAGTTGCTTCATCTACAAAAGATCCATCCTTTCACAGATGTCCTTATTTCCAGACATCTTATTTGAAAGCTTCGGTGCCAGAGCTCGCTGATTCTTAATAAATTATCGTAATATAAGAATAAGAATCTATGAAATGAATGTTTATAAATATTTATTTATGAGTATAAAACAAGTATGCAAATACTTACAAGCTCATACTTCACATTTGCATATCCATTTCTCGCTATTCGATGGTGATATATTTGTTTAGCCTGAATGTTCCTTTAGTTTTCTTTGATTTTCTATAAAGGAAAAAAATTACGTCAATCACATATAAAGATATCGAATATATTGCATAAAATCCTATAAACAATTTTTTTGGTAATGGGTTTACGTACCAAGAAATCTTCTGATAGTCGATCTCGAATAAAATTTCTTCAATCTTTAACACTTATTTCATCTGCATATAAAGTAGGTGGAATAGCCAATATATCACCTTGATCAGTGAGTGATAAAATATATTGGGTTATCAATTTGCTTTTAAAGTCTCTGAATGCATTCCTAGCAAATTGTAACACAATCTTTTTATAGTCAATTGGGATGTCGAACCGTTCTTAAATAATTTAACACAATTAGTATGTACATATTGAATTTCAATTAAATGATTATTTAACAAATTTTACAAAATAGTTGAATAAACATACTATAATTGACTGTCATATACCATCATTTAGATCATCAGAAACTCGTCGCCAATTAGTGTATGCAATTGAAATGCTACTATGGACGATGACACCAATATGAGTAGCCAACTTGGCAGTTCCATCAGACATAGGCTCCCCACTTTGATTGAAGTCTACATGAATTTTTGTGTCACTCACTTTAATTTATTTATTTCGTCTCTTTTTTTTCTTTTTTGGCCTACAGGTATGTCTTGTGTATGTTCAGTAGAAGGAGAATTATGTTGTTCGGAGTCCATAATACCTGTAATTTTGATCACAATTATATGACATACACCAAAATAACTGTCTAAATTTAACACTGTACGTAATAAAATACAACCAATATCATACTATATACAAAAATACCATTCAGCAAACCAATCAGCAATGTGTTCATAAATACCATTTAGCAAACCATTCAAAAACATCATTCAGTAAACTATTCAAAAACACCATTCAGCAAACCAATATCATACAATACCATTCAACAAAACAATATCATACAATATCATTTAGCAAACTATAATATTTAAAGAAAACTACACAGAAACAACATACATACAATGAAAGGTGTTTGGATGATTATGGTTACAGTGAAATGAATAAAAATATATAGGCATATGTAAATAGTAAGGAACTAAAAAAAAATACCTCAATCAAATAATATAAATAATACAGTAAACAAAAAAATAAAGACATATTGATAAACAGAGAAGTGTGCATCGTTGAGTTGTTGAAGGTCAATGGTGATGATAAAGTTAAAGAAACCAAAAGTCAATCTAAAAGTGTTTATGGGTTTGGTTTCGTTGATTAATGTAGCTTTTAATCTTTTTTTGTACTAGCAGTTTGTGATTTCGATGTTTAAGATAGGGGAATGAATATAAAAATTATAAGTGAAGGCGTTTTTCTAACAAAAACACTTTTAATAATCCCCTTAAATTTTACTAAGAGATTATTGAAGGCGTTTTTTACTTAAAGATGCCTTTAATAATCCCAAAAAATTTTTCAAAAGAA